GAAAAGAGTGTGATTACAGTTATTTAATAATGTTGGGTTCAAATTAGAAATAACTAATTGTCAGATTCTGATTTTAAATAATTATATGCAACATTTTTAAACTTTAAATTTTCTAAAAATAAATTTTATCAGTTACAAGCCTATTTAAAACTATAAGTGGGTTTTTTCTTCCACTGATAAATCATTCACAGGAAAGTATATTGTAGCATTCAAAAAGCATATATTAAGTAGTAGCTTTACATGTGGCTCAGCTTTTTTGTAAACAAAGTTTTGAGTACATTTTGCTAAATATCTTGACACATTATTAGAACGAATCCTTTGTTTTAAACTTGCTAAACCATTTTTAAATCTATCTTTAATACTTAAGTCAAGTTAGTTTTTACTTAATTCATACAAGTTTCTGAATGTATAGCATTTATCCACCTAGAAAGTGACTTTATACTGTATATTGTGACACATAAGATTTCTCTGTATTGTAATTTGACACATAGCAGTAGGAGTTTTGGAACTGAATCATAACTTTGCACTAACTATAGATCTGAGAATATGTTCATTTTCATTTGGAAATCAGGAACTGCAGATTTGTAGAGCAATTAATATTTCCGTGAAGGAAAAAACAACTTAGGTTTAAAATTAAATAATGCTTTTTGTTTTAACAATTTAAAGTTGAATCAATAGTTTATAAGTACGTAGTTCCCCTTTGGAAAGATTAAACCTTTATAGAATTTTTTTTACCTTTTTTAGGTTCTTTTAGGAGGTGAAAAAATTCCCCCACCCACTATGTAGAGATTTTAGTGTCCAGTTAAGTAGGTTTGTTTGAAAACTGAGAGAAAATAATTATAATAAGCATGAGATAAATTATATTACTATTCATGTTCTCTGAATCAGACATTCAAGAGCAAAAAAAAATTGTCTTATTTAACTAGATGTATATTCTGGCAGTTACATAAACTTAATTTCTTGATTTGAGCTGGGAATGCTAAAGGTGTAATTTTTGTGTGCCTTGTACCAAGAGCCAATATCTTTTTGCTTTTCCCAATTATTATTTGCTAATTCTATACTGGGGACTGGTGAATGAGAAATCAAGAGTAGCTTATAGTAAGTTGAGTCATTTTGTCTGACATCATAACCAATGTCTAAAATTCTATTTGGAGTCTAATAAGGTATGATTTTAGAACCCAGCTACAGATTTTAAAAATAAAGACTGTCTATGAGCCCAACCCATAAAATGAATATATTAAAACGTTGCAAGTTTATTTTTGGCTTAAATATTGGAAAGTAATTGAAAAATATGAAGGGTATCCCACCATGTCCCTTATTTTGAAATATTTTAGAAAGAGGACTCCATTTATTTAAGGCTTTGTCAATATAATTGCTTCATTGATTCATAATACACAGGCAGAATTATATATGTCATGAATTGTGTGAAGTAGTTTAAAGTATAGTCCAAAGAGATGTCTCATTAAAGGTTAGATTCAATAAAAACTCTATCTGCTATATGTGTACCAGAAAAGCACAGGAGTTGGATAGAGTTTTTATTAAGTCAGGCCTTAAATTTGTTAAATAGTTTGGCATTTTTATAAGTGATAGTCATGTACATAACATTTCAACACCACAGAAAGTGCTTAGTTTAAGAATATTTTAAAACTGAGATAGTGTATAAGATTTTAGATGGTTGTGATAACATGTAAGGTCTAAATTAGTGACACTATATATTTGCAGCTTTTAGTTAGTTGTGATTCATAATTTAATGTTTTGCATTTAGAAAATTAAATCTTTATTGTTATGAAGCTGTGTTGTGATTTTCTATCCTTCCTTTACCATTCCTCCCCCACCCTTTCCCCTATCCCTCTGTCCTCACTCCCTCTTAATGCACAAGGCATTAACATGCTCCAGGTTACTTTTTTTGTATAAAATTCTGTATTAGCAGAATAATTTTTTTCTACACAATATAGTAACTTATGTCAAGTGTAGTTTTATATAATGTTAGGTCTGAATCCATTTTCTTTAACTGTGTTGTTGTTGTAGGAATTTGCTCGCCTTGATACATCGAATGATAGAGTTTGTTGTACGTGAAGGGCCAATGTTTGAAGCTATGATTATGAACAGAGAAATCAACAATCCCATGTTCAGGTGTGCATTTTTTGTGTGTGTGTGTTAAAATCCTATATAATAAAAGGATAATATGCAAATTGACCAAATGGCAGAGCAACCGGTCGCTATGACATGCACTAACCACCAGGGGCAGATGCTCAGTTCAGGAGCTGACCCCTGGTGGTCAGTGCTCTCCCACAGTGGGAGCTCTGCTCAGCCAGAAGCCTGGCTCATAGCTGGCGAGCACAATGCCTGTGTGGCAGGGCTAACGATGTCCAACTGACGGCTTAGTCGGACATCCTCTTAGGGCTCCCGGACTGCGAGAGGGCACAGGCTGGGCTGAGGGTCCCCCTCCTCCCCATCTCAGTGCACAAATTTCGTGCACTAGGCCTCTAGTATATATATATCAAAATTTACCATTTTTAAGTGTACAGTTCAGTGGCATTAAGATTGTTATGTAACCATCACCAGTAATTTCTTTCCAAAACTCTTTTCCATAATTGAAACTTTGTGCCACTTAAACAACTCCCCATTCCTTGATTCACCTAGGTTCTGATAGTCACCATTCCACTCTCTTTGAATTTGGTTACTCTAGGTACCTTATATAAGTGGAATCAGATGTACTTTGGTGACTGGTTTATTTCACTTAATATATTGTCTTCAAGGTTTATGCATGTTGTAGTATTTGTCAAAATTTCATTACTTTAAAGTCTAAAATATATTCCATTGCATGCTTTACCACATTTCATTTATAATCAGTATGAATTTTAAAGTACTTCTCATTTTTGGAATTAAGATATAGTTCCAAGAATAAAGTTACAAAAGTATCAGGTTATTTTTGCAATGAGATGAAAAGGCAGATTTAGTAATTGAACTAGAATGTATTTTGGTCAGTTTTCCATCTGATTTTGCCTTAGTTAATAAAAAAGCATGGTTTTTAGCATTCTTTAGGAGGAAAATGCATTTCATTATGCTTTTCAATGAGTTTTTCATAAGTGATATATAGTAGGATAAATGAGGTTTATAGGAAATTTCTTATCTTCTAAGACATTCATTTAACATGTGTGGGGGGTTTTTGTGTGAATGAATCAAAATTATACCGATTTCATTTAACACTCTTAAGTAGTTTTTTAAAAAAAACACCGTTTAAAATTATGTCTTGGGAAAATATCTTTATTGTCAGACATAGTACCTGGCACATTTTATCGAACAATACAATTGTAAGATTTAGCAAGATTCATATATGCCTTGTGAGTATTAATATCAGTCATGAAAGCAGTCTGGGGCTGGGTGAGGAAGGATATAGATGGCACATAACATGAATAGGAGTTTCTCTTCAGTGAGCTTTGATTTTGGTTTTATTTAGAACTAAGTAGGCAGATATTTTTCATTTGATAATAATTACTTGAATGCAATTCCACCTTAAATAATCTGATGTTTGTTTTATTTTAGATTCTTATTTGAAAACCAGACACCAGCCCATGTTTACTATCGGTGGAAGCTTTATTCTATTCTTCAGGCAAGTAGACTCAGTTACTTTGTTAATTTTGACTGAGGTATTGGAGCTTTCTAATAACATTCTGGATGTTTATTAGGGAGATTCTCCAACTAAATGGCGGACGGAAGATTTTCGTATGTTCAAAAATGGATCTTTTTGGAGGCCACCACCATTAAATCCATACCTGCATGGGATGTCAGAAGAGCAAGAAACAGAAGCTTTTGTAGAAGAGCCTAATAAAAAGGGAGCACTTAAGGAAGAGTAAGATTTTATTTCCTTTCTTTTACATATTCAAGAAAGTCCTTTAGTGATGCTTTAATTAATAGTTTTAGTAAGTTGTTAATCTTAAAGTTTTTGAATGTGCTTAAACATCTTAGCAAGAGTAAATGTGTATTTTATTGACCTCTTTCTACTGATAAATTGGTAATAAAATTTGTGATGATTTTTTAAGCAGTGATTCTCTAGCAGTGGAATACTTCATATTCTTATAGAAATTATCTCAATAGACTTAAAATTCTTGTCTCTCTGAATGCAACATTAAGAGGAAAAATTGTTGTCTGGCTTAGTAAGGTCAGATTGTTGACTGTTGAAACGTCTCTACAGTGTACAGTATATGGCCACCATAGGTGTATATGTTCTTAAGAGTGCTCTGCCAGCTCTGGGACAGTGAAATTAGCCTAGTTTAAGAAGCAGAAACAGCTGGGACCGGTTTGGCTCAGTGGATAGAGCGTCGGCCTGTGGACTGAAAGGTCCCAAGTTCAATTCCGGGCAAGAGCATGTATCTTGCTTGTGGGCACATCCCCACTAGGGGGTGTGCAAGAGGCAGCTGATCGATGATTCTCTCTCATCGATGTTTCTAACTCTATCCCTCTCTCTTCCTCTCTGTAAAAAATCAATAAAATATATATATATTTTTTTTTTTAAAAAAAGCAGAAACATCAACAGTACAACGACTGAAATTTCTTTTTCAATTGCACTGTATGTGTGCGCCGCAAATGGTATTTTGTGGAAGAGCCACACTCAAGGGGCCAAAGAACCACACTGCCCTAGGATATGAGGGACCTCCAGAGGCTGTTATCCAAGGCTACAGGCACCATGGACAGTAGTGGACTGGGAACAAAGAAAGGGCCTTAGTCACTGCTGTTTAAGAAACGCCTCCTAAAAGGTTTAAATGGCTCTAAGCTGTACAAGCATAGTTTGCCTATGACCTACTCATTCTTGAGAACTTTGGGAAATCAGCAGTTAGAATAGCAAGTTCAGTTTCATTACTTACAAGTACATTGGAAAACAAATTTAAACTTCCCACATGGTCAGGTAGTGTATTCTGCAGCAGTTAGGAAGTGAGTGAAGGCTTTGGGTCAGGATGAGCCTGATGTCTGAGCTATCACATGCTTAGACTGGGTTGGACAGCATAGGAGTCACAGGCATTGCCCTTGCATCCTCCCTGTACCTTGTGATCGGAAATGAATAAATTATTTTTAAAGAAAAAAAATGTAACTACTAAATGTTCAGTGCAAGTTCTGTATACCTCATGGAAAAAGAATTTTTAGCATATAGGATTATATACTGCATAGTCTATATAAGTCTGAATCTAACTGCATTGATGCATTGTTTATGAGAACATTTGGTAATGGAGAACTATAGTATTTGAAGTATATTTGCTTCTGAAGATGTATGTTTATTATTGTGACTAGGGGTCCACCAACAGCCCACAGGCTTAATCTGGCTGTCTTCTGTTCTTTTTTTTTTAAATATATTTTATTGATTTTCTACAGAGAGGAAGAGAGAGATAGAAAGCCAGAAACGTCGATGAGAGAGAAACATCGACCAGCTGCCTCTTACACACCCCCCACTGGGGATGTGCCCGCAACCCAGGTACATGCCCTTGACCGGAATCGAACCTGGGACCTTTCAGTCCGCAGACTGACGCTCTACCACTGAGCCAAACCGGTTTCGACTGTCTTCTGTTCTTATAAAGATTTTTTTGTTGTGTTTTTTTGTTTTGTTTTGTTTTTTAATATATTTTATTGATTTTTTACAGAGAGAGGGATAGAGAGATAGAAACATTGATGAGAGAGAATCATAGATCAGCTGCCTTTTGCACACCCCCTACTGGGGATGTGCCTTCAACCACGGTATATGCCCTTGACCGGAATTGAACCTGGGACCTTTCAGTCTGCAGGCCGATGCTCTATCCATTGAGCCAAACCGGTTTCGGCTGTTCTTGTAAAGTTTTATTGCAACATGGTCATGTCCATTCCTTTCCATGCTGTCTATGGCTGCTGTGGTGGTGTACTAGCAATCAAGTAAATGTGACAGAAACCATATGGATTGCAAAGCCTAAACTATTTACTCTCTGATTCTTTACTTGAGAAATTTATCAGTCCTTGTTTTAGCCTTTCCTAATGCTAAGTAGAAATGCTAAAGTAACAGACTCCCTTCAAAGCAGGGTAAAGAACAGGAAGGTTCTTTTTCAATGGAGTGATTTAATTTGTAAATTAAAAGTCACTGGAATGTTTGTTAGTTTAAGGCCAGGAAAATTATTCTATTATATAATTAGGTCTAGTAATAATTAATGTCGTTTTCTAATACTTTTTTAAATCGAATTTATTTAAACAATACAACAAAATTTAATCAACAATATAGTTGCCGTTGTTTTCTACTACTTGTGCCCAACGCTCAGGAAGCATTTTAATCCCTCTATTGTAAAATTCTTGTGATTTTGATGCAAAAAATTCGGTCAATGCATTTTTGAGGCATTCTTCATTATTAAATTTTTTTCCAAGAAGAAAGTTTTGCAAAGAACGAAACAAATGGTAATCGGAAGGGGCAATATCAGGAGAATATGCAGGTTGAGGGAGAACTTCCCATTCCAACTGGCGCAGTTTTTCAGCAGTGATTCTTGCAGTATGCGGTCGTGCGTTATCGTGGTAAAGAATTAGGCCCTTCCGATTAATCAGCGCGGGTTCTTTTTCTCTTAAAGCTTGGGCTAACCTTTCCAATTGGGCACTATACACTGCACTTGTAATGGTTTGGGTAGATGGTAAAAGTTCATAATGAAGAATTCCTTTAAAATTCCACCAAACACACAACATCACTTTTTTCGCATGCAAGTCAGGTTTTGGCGTGGGCTGTGGAGCCTCATTTTTGTCCAACCATTGAGGCCGCCTTTTCAAATTAACGTACAGCACCCATTGTTCATCTCCGGTAACAATTTGCTCTAAAAACGGCAAACGGTTTTGACGAGAGAGGAGCGAACTGCAAATTGTGACTCTTTGATTACTGTTGTTGTCAGTCAACTCATGAGGAACCCATTTTCCAAACTTTTGGACTTTGCCAAGTGCACGCAATTGATTGGAAATTGTTTTTTGTGAACAATTTAAAGTTGTCGTGAGCTCTTGTTGGGTAATTTGAGGATTTTGCACCAAAAGAGCTTGAAGAGCTTCTTGATCAAAATTGGACACACAGCCTCGACCACTCTTGTCATCTAACGAAAAATTTCCCTCGCGAAGTTTCTCAAACCAACGCTGGCATTTTCTGGCGCTAACTGCATCTTGACCAAGAGCACTACAGATGTTTTTTGCAGCCTCACTTGCTTTTCTTCCTAATTGGAACTTGTAAAGCATGCAGTGCCGAATATGCTCTTCATCTGCCATCTTCTTAGCCCTAGTTTTGCATCAAAAACCAAACCAAACACAAACTTTTTCAAGCAAAACTTGTTAATTGCACTTCACACGTTCTGTAGATACCACGAGTTTGAAGGTTATGTCAATACAAGTCAACGCCAAGCAAGATTTTAAACGAATGTTAAAAAACGACATTAATTATTACTAGACCCTCATATAAGAGGTACCTCATATAAGTTCTTTAAAAAAAACAAAGTAACATATTTGGGGGACTTATTACAAATCAGATTTAACTCACTTTAATTGTCAGAATTATTTTACTGATTGGGTTTTAAAGAAATTAAGTTTATGAGCAGTAACTATACTAACATTTGAAATTTGTATTTAGACAGAGGGACAAATTAGAAGAAATCCTGCGGGGGTTAACTCCAAGGAAAAATGATATTGGAGATGCAATGGTTTTCTGTCTAAATAATGCTGAAGCTGCTGAAGAAATAGTGGATTGCATTACTGAGTCCTTGTCGATTCTAAAGACACCCCTTCCCAAAAAGGTATGATTTTTGTTTTTTTTATGAAACCATTTAAGCAGTTGTTTATTCTGATGGACTTTGGTTAATATTATTACATTGTTAATTTTTAAGTCTAATTACAAAATTCAAAAATACACATTTTTAAGAAAAGAAAGTAATCATATGGATTATATAAACCACTTAACTAGTTAACTGTTTATAAGATACTACTGAATTCCTAACTGAGTAGATTATTGAGTTATATATCTAATTTTAAAATTATAATCCCTCTTGAATTTAGAAATTCTAAGAAGTAAAAGAAGATCTGCTTTTCATTCCTAGATTTTATCACTAGCTAACTAGTCTTGGTTGGCTTGTAAGTTAAAATGAATGCTTACTTTGCCAAGGTTCCTCATCATATAGTAATTAATGAATCAATTTGTCATTCATTTAGACATCATTTATTGAGTTGTGTGCCATCTGTTTTTTCTTAATAGATTGATTAGATAAAAGGGGAGATAATAGTTGACTCTTTGGATTGAAATTGGTTTCCTTTTTTATATGAAGAACTTGAGCCAGGAAATCTTTTCTATTGTAGTCTTGTTATGTTAATTGACAGACAAGTTAACAGGTTGAAATATAAATGAGTTAAAGTTTTATCCCTGCGGAAATCATGATTGTGGAATTTCTTATAACTGTTCTAATTAGTCATGATTATTAAATTGTAAACATTAGCCTTATTACACTGATTCCAAAAAATTCAATATGGATTTTTTTTTTAAGATATGTTGTTTGCTGATTGTTTTTTTTTTAATTGGTTTTATGTTATCTTTTGGTATTCTAGATTGCCAGGTTATATTTGGTTTCTGATGTTTTGTACAACTCTTCAGCAAAAGTTTCCAATGCTTCATATTATAGGAAATTGTAAGTATAATTATGTAAATTGATATTTTGGAAATAAAATACTTCACGGTAAGGAGTTCAGAAGAGAGCACTGTCTTGTTAACACCCTCCAATAATAAATAATTTGAATCTCTTTGTAGTCATAAAATATCCTAAAAAATTGGATTGCATTCATTGAACTAAACCACTTTCAAGCTAAAGTAGCAGTTTTTTTGAAAGGTTTTATTGGTTAACTTGGTAACAAGACAAATAGGACCAGTTAAAAAGTAACTTTATAATAAATAAACTGAAACAATGGCAAACAAAGGAAGAGACAAAAAACAAAGCATTAACTATCTAATATGTGTTTTCTTCTGATCATCATTATGTTGTTGTAGTTCATTGCTAATGCTTTCCTTGGCAATAGGAAATTATGTTGCTTAATTTAATTAATTTAGAACTCTTTCATAATTCCCCAGAGTTCCTTTTGGTGTTTATTTTATGAATTAGGGGAATTTTTTTCTCCCTTAACAAACTGAGAGGAAATTTGGAGGTCTGGGTTCTAATCTTTGCTCTCCCTTTTTTTTTTTTTTTTTTTTGCCTTGGAAAAGTCACTTAACTCTTTCCTTTTTTATAAAACAAAGAGTTCAGACTAGGTGGCTCAAGGTGTCAGATGTAAAGTTCCTTGCTAATCAAGGAACTACTACTTATGACTCTTTTGGGGATTTTGCAGGAGAAAAATTTAGGAGTAGGTGTTAAAGCAGTTGAATTATAGTTTTAGAGGTAAAGCACCTAATTCTTCATTTTTATAAGATTATTTAATTTATTGGTAGGTTTTGTTGTTTGTTTTTTTAGGTCTGGGAGGGGTTTGAGTGAAGTAGATAAGGATTTTTAAACAAATTCTGTTTTAAGAATATATTATTTCAATTTCAGTTTTGAAACAAAGTTATGTCAGATATTTTCAGACCTCAATGCTACCTATCGTACAATTCAAGGCCATTTACAGTCTGAAAATTTTAAGGTATGTTTACTGTTTTATTATTTTTGCTGTCTTAGTGTTAATATGGGGATGGGAACTGAGAAGCACATTGGAGGGCTAGAAAAGTATATATATAAGATATACTAGAATTCGTGCACCGGTGGGATAACTAGGTCTGACCTGTGTGATCTGGCTGAAAACAGCTCTCTGACATCCCCCAAGTTGTTGTGGATTGTGAAAGAGCATAGGCCGGGCCAAGGGACCCCACTGATGCATGATCAGGGCTGGGGAGGGATGCAGGAGGTTGGCCAGCCAGGGAGGGACCTCGGAAGAACTCCAGGGTATGTCCAGTTCATCTTGCTCACACCCGATCAGCTGGACCCCAGCAACGAGCTAACCTATTAGAGCGTCTATCCCCTGCTGGTTAATGCATGTCATAACAGCTGGTTGAGTAGCCTTAGCATATTGAATGGCTGAGTGGTCAATCGGACACTTA